GCTCTGGGACGCGCGCGAGCGCCCGGGGCCGGCCGAGGCCGCGGACGTGCGCGGGCGGCGCTGCTGCTTTGCGACCCCGCCGTGCGGGGCGGGGTCGTCCGGCCTGAGCGCCTCTCCATCAAACATGAGGACGCGCGGCCGCCCAGACACGGAGGCGCGCCGCTGCCCCGGCGGCTCGTGGCCGCCCGCCGCCGCGCCGGGCTCGCTGCCGCGGGGCGTGCTGTGCGGGGACGAGTCGTCCGCGTTGTCGATGCGGCTGGCGCGCCTGTTTTTGAAGTGAGCGGGTGCATCGGTGTTTCTCCCTGCTCGTGAAGACGCACTTGGCTGGGCGGCCCTGCAGACGAAATCAAATCCAACACCGATGTCCACTGACCACCCCAGCGTGCAGCACGCTGGCGAGGCGCAGCCACCCACCACCACCCCCGAGCTCCGGCCACCTCAACCCAGCAGCTGCCGGCGCCTCTGGCGGCGACGTCGGCCCCCGCTGTCTTAAGCCCTCCATCACCGCCCCTCCTCCCACCCACAAAACGGCGGCCCTCCACCATGCGCGCGGCAGCCCACCTGCTGCCCTCCCCCTGCCCATCGCTGTCCTCCTCGGTCCACGACGAGCACGACGCCCGCGGGCTCACCCCCTCCCCCTCCCTCCCGTTCGCGCTCCCGCCGTCCCCCGCGTCGCTGCCGCCCGGCGCGGGCAGCCAGGGCCCGAGCAGCGGCGGCAGCTTGAGGGACGGGTCGACCTCCAGGGCGCGCGCGCGGGCGCGCTCCATGTCGGGGCGCAGGGCGGGGTGGGCCATGAGCTCCTGCACTGAGGGGCGCCTCTCGGGGTCCTTGCGCAGCATGCTGCGGGGGTTTGGGGGATTGAGGGTTTGGTGGATCAGGGGTTTGGTGAATTAGAGGTTTGTTGAATCAGGGGGTTCGAGGATACAGGGGTCTGGGGTATCAGCGGTTTGAGCGAGAGGGTTCGCTGGGCCGACAACCTGGCAATCAGGTGGGTTGGGCTACAAGTTGGACCAGCCAGCGCAAGCTCTGCACGTTGCTGCCGGCTGGCCCCCTGGCGCCTCCTCTGCACACGTTGCTTCCTTCGCAAGACCACCCTGCTTCAAATCAGCTGCCGAACAGGCCCCGCAGCCCATAAGCCGCTCTGCACACCGTCCGCCCCCTCCTTCCCGAGCTACCCCAGCAGCCCACCCCCCCGCCCCCGCTCACAGCGCGACGAGGCCGCCCCACTCCGCGCTGTAGCCCGGCGGCAGCGGCGCCATGCGGTGGCGGCGAATCTTGGTGACGAGGCCGTGGATGTTGAAGGCGTTGAAGGCGGGGCGCTGCGCGGTGAGCTCGTACAGTGCACAGCCCAGGGACCTGACAGGGTGTGGGGTGCGAAGGGTGTGTGTGGGGGGGTGGGGGTGGGTGCGTGTGTGTGAGAGGGGTAGGTTTGCGGACGGAGGTAGATTTGGCTTGCAAGGGTTTCGGGTGTGCACAAGATTGGTTTTGAAGGTGCAAGGGTGAAGCATGGTGTAACAGGGTTCGACGCTGACTTTGCAAGGGAGAGAAGAGTGTGGCCAGGCCTGACGTCTGGGCCTCATCAGCAAGGAGGCAGCAGCGAAATGAGGCCAGTCGCGCCGCCTGCCCACCAGGTGTCGCTCTTGAAGCTGCAGCCCTTCTGACTCAGCAGCTCGGGGCTCATGTAGTGCGGCGTGCCCTGGAGGTTGAGCAGGCGCAGGGGCGGGCAGGACGTAGGTCACCGAGTGACGCCTGGCAACAGAAGCTTCCGCCAGATTTTGATATTACTGCTTCCAATGACGCAGCCGCCGTCTTCAGAGTATGTGAGCCAAAATGACCACATTGCGTCCCAAAAAACACTCCACGTCATCCCCAGCTGCGGGCACGGCCCTAGAACACCCCCCTAGAACCACACACAACCCACGAGCCCGGCCCACCACTAGGTTCATGTCCTCAGGCCTGTCCCCCTCCGTCTCGCGGTAGGTGGCCAGGCCAAAGTCGCCCAACTGCGGCAGGCAGACACGGAACGCAGGCACGGCTTGCGTCAGCAGCAGCAGCAGCAGCGCGTCAGCTGTACAAGCGTGAAATGACGCAGAACCGCGGCGGCAGATTGCACGCCCTGCTGTATATTTTGCCGTGGGCGATGGGCGAGCTGGTTTGTCACAGGCAAGAGCAGGCAAGATCAGGGAGGGGCGGTGCTCTGTGTCACCTGCACGTCCCCCGCCGCTGTCAGGAAGATGTTGCCTGTCTTGATGTCCCTGGGAGGGGGTTGAGGCGCGGTCCAAGATGTCAGAGGGGCTACACCCTGAACGTCAAAGGTGCCAATCCCTTACACCAGACGGTGACACTTGTGGGAGGGCGCTCCTAGCCACAGCTTGCCATGGCTACCCGTTCTTGCATGGGGAAGAACAAACAAGCCGAGGCCATGGCAGATCCGGTGATCTGCGTAATCTTGCTGGCAATCTGGATCTCGTGATCTTTGTGATCTTGCTGGCATGCCGAACTCTCTCACCTGTGCAGAACCTTTTGAACCTGTAGGTACTCAAGGGCCAGCAGCATCTGGCACAGCCACAGCTTCAACGTCGCCTCTGGGAAGGGGGTGCCCTGCGGCAGTGGGATGCACGCGGACACGTGCGCCACTCTCAGCGCTGCAATGCCCCGCGCGCGCTGCGAGCTGCGCTGAGCAGCACCACAGCCAGCCGCCCTCGTCGGCACACGCGTCGTCTGCTGCACCTTGACCCACTGGCGGCTGCCTGAGGCTGCCGACTCGTGCACCCCTGGCCCCGCCACGAGGGTCCCTCACGTTGTTCTTGGCCATGAGGGTTGCAAGGTCACCCTTTTCGCAGTACCCATACACCTGCATGGGGGTTTGAGAGGTGATGAACGCGCAATGCAGGCCTATCAGAGCGCCATCAGCAGCCTGGCTGCCAACACATCCTTTCTACGCCCCAGAAGGCCCCAGAGTTTGCATGGATTGAAGAGCCGATGTTGGCCAAGTGGCGGCTTGGCAGGTGTGGGACCCCTCTGGAGGAACCGAGCCACGCGTCCCAGCTGCAGTCTGCCAGCCCAAACACCTTCAAGCCGGCACCCGGCGCCCAGCTCCCGGCACCGCGGCCCCTCCCAGAGCTCACCACGTTGACGGTGTGGCCCTGGGTGATCCAGCTGGTGACGTGGGGCACGATGTAGGGGTGCTGCAGCTTGGACACCTGCAGGCATGTGTGCCAGGGAGGGCGACCTGGTCAGAAACACTGCTGCTTGGGCGGCTGCGCTCTATGATGCCGAGGCAAGCAGCACGCTGCCTGAATCCAAGCAACGTGTACTGCACGAAGGCTGCGCCCCAATGCTTGCATTGACCGTGGTATGATTCTGCTGGGCTGAGCTCGCGGCGTCTGCGCCCTGCTCCCTTGTGGCCCGTCAGCTGCACCAGCCAACAAAAGCAGCATCACGCTCAGCGGCGCACCATGTCCCGCTCTTGCAGGGTGCTGTTGCGCTGCCAGTTGGTCTGCTTTGCCAGCCGCACGCGCTTGAGCACGTACTGCTTGCGCGTCTCCTTATGCAGTACCAGGAACGCCGCGCCAAACGCGCCCTTGCCGATCTGCTCCCGCATCTCATACTCAGAGCTGAGGTCCACGTTGCCCTGATGGGGTAAGCGCAGGTCATGGGCATGGCACACACCAGCACGGCGCAAAGCGCTCTTGTTGGGCTGGGACGACGACGCGGCGCATGCAGGGTCATGACAGGTACCGCTTTGTAGACCGTTTGCAATCATGTTATCCCCACACAGTCCCCCAGCTCGCTTGAACACGGCCAACAATTGATTTGTCTCACCGCCATTCTGGCCCACCACACTAACGACACAACGCTGCTTGTTGCGTCCTCTACTTCAAAGGCATGATCCCTGGATTCGTCCCTGCTCGTGCGTCAAAGCTTTGAATCCTGGTTCAGATCAGGTGTCCAGCAGTCAAGCGTCTTCCTGAAATAATGTAACTTGCTATTGGCAACGCCTTCGATGTATACTGCAGTTGCATAGGGCCTGGCCTGACTTTCTGCCGTCAGGCGTCAGGCATCAGAGTGCCGTAGCAACAGAACGCACCACCCCTACCAGTCTCAGGAGCAGGCTGCCTGCTCAGGAGGTGCTGCTTTGTTGAGGCTGGCCCGCTAGGTTTGCACAGCACCACCCATAGCGACAGAAAGCGGACTGGGAAGTGCCTCCCAGAATGTTTTGGGCGCACGTGCAGGAATGAACAACATCACTCACCCGGTGTGCTGCTAAATGCCCGGCTTGTGCGGGGTGAGGGAGGGCGCTTTGCGTAAGACTTTGGATTTGTATGTGCTGCCATTCTGATGAGTTGCCTGGGGCTGAGCTGCCTCCCTTGCATGATTCTGCCGTTGCCGCTGACGGATGCCTGTCTGCAAGGCTGCAGCTGGCACAAGCCCACTGTTCCATTTTGCTGGGCGTGACTTTCCCATACCCTACCCTCATCATGCGCACACAACAGCCTTGATCCAGCAGTGCGGACAACTTACTGGCGGGGCATGCCCAGGCGCCTTGACAAGGCAATGGACCAGCAGCGCAGTGTACGCGGCTTGTGGCCCCACACATTTCTGGCCAAGTGCTGCCGTTCTCTAGGGCCAAGGGCACAACATTATGAACGGTCAAGGTGATGATCCATCAAGGTGACTGTCAGCAGCCACCCTCCCTTGTAGGGAAACTGCAAAGAAAACAACAAGGTATAGGGAGCAACACACACACAGCACGCGATGGCAGAACTGGGAGGCCAATCAACAAAGATTGAAAGCACCATGCAGTGGCTCTGTCTATGCGGCGCATGCACACCCTGAAACGCACAGCAACCTTCCTGCTGCATATTGCATGCATAATCCAATTGAGAAACATTTAAGCATCCCCTTTGCTGACCACACACAGCTGGGCAGGCACCCGAGCCTGCACCAGTGGAGCTGCATGCGCCACTCCGCGGTCTGTCGGCGACCCTTCTACATTGTTCAAGAAGCCCTGTGTCGGGGTAAGGCGAGGGCATGGGGGCTTGAGCCCCCATGGGGGCTGAAGCCCAATGCCCTCTAGTTGATTGTCATGCTCTGAATGCTGTCCATCAGGGCGTCCATGCTGGTCAGCTTGACAACTGGGTTGTTGATCGGGAGCGGCGTCAGCGAGATGCGGTTGATGCCCTCGATAGCGGCTGTCAATGCTGCGGCCACGTCAGGGTCAGCCGGCATCTTCGCTGGTGGGGGCATCTGCTGCTGCTGCTGCTGCTGCTGCTGCTGCTGCTGCTGCTGCGATGGCGGCAACAGCTGCGGCACAGCAGCCCGCGCCTGTGCAGCCTGCGCTTGCAGCACCTCTGCGGGCTCGGCCTGGCCCAAACCACGGCCGCCGCCACCCTCCTCGCCCTCCTCGCCCTCCTCGCCCTCCTCGCCCTCCTCGCCCTCCTCGCCCTCCTCGCCCTCCTCGCCCTCCGGCTCTGGCATCGTCAGGCGCGGGGGGGCGCCCACCTTGGGGTAATGGTAGCGGGGTTATCAGACAACTGTGGAGTGAGGTTTGGGCGTTGTGACTGTACAGGGCACACTACAACAGCTTCGCCTGGCGGGGCATGCAGCACCTCCGAACACAGGAGCGAATGTAGAGCAAGCGGCATGCCCGCTGGATTGCCCACGCATGTAGTGTCTCCCTTTGGTTACTGGCAGTGCTGCTGGCCAGGAGAAAGAGAGAGAAAGACAACGCTGACGCCTCGCGCAACTAAAAGCCACGCTGCAAGTGGCACTGCATTGGATTGATGAGGAGAGTGTGTGTGTGTGGTTACTAGCCACGCACCCCACCATACAGGCTGGCCAGGTACATACGCACCGCAGCTATGTAGGCCCACACGAGCAGCAGCCACAGGAATGGGGTCCGGAACACGTGAAGCGGGGTGTTGACATCCGCCCACGTATCCTCGGCTGTGACAGATTGGCACAAATAGGTTGGGTGGGCGGGTGCGTGTGGCTGGGATGGGAGTAGATGTGTGGGTGAGTGGGCGGGCCGGTGGGGGGTGGATGCTGCACAAATGGCCGGGAAAGAGATTTGGGGCAGGTCCCAGCCAGCTCGAGGTTGTCGCATGAAATGCCCCAGAGACTCGGAGCGGCGGGCGAGCGAGGTTGCAGTGTGTGCCCGAGGTTGTGACAGCGTCTGTACGCACACGGCGCGACGCTCACAGCGCCTGTGCCTGTCGGCTGTGCAAAACCCCCTCATGCCAGACAGCCCTCACTCATATAATCTTGGACTTGCTGACGAATGCTGCCGTACGCCCCCAGGGCGCCGATGACGGCATCGGCATCATGCTCGCCCAGGCTATCCTGGGTGCAGGTGCCCTCAGCGACGGCCTTGGCAGCGGTGTTGGCCTTCAACTGATTGCAGAACGCTTCTAGGCGGCGTGCATCGTCGCTCTGCTTCTTATTGATATCGCCGGCGCGGAGCTTCAGCCAGACGATCGTGTGGCTTAGCAGGTAAGTTATGAGGTAGCTCAGCGATACCAGAGAGTCGTAAGTGTGCTCACGGACCGTCTCGGGTTCCGACACACGCGCGTGCTCAAGGACCCAGTTGAACGAGGGCATTCCGGCTTGCGTGTGGATTGCAGGTGCTGTCAAGATACGGCCAGATTGTGAAAACGGCGGCGGTGCAAATATATTTCATTGAACGAATGTGTCGTCCAGCAGTCACGCTCAGAACACAGTCATTTCGGTACAGGTAATGGCCAGTGACACGCGCCTGCAAAACTGCATTGGCCCACGCCGCCCCAAGCTTCACACGACAGCCATTGCACCAGGCTCTGTAATCAAGCAAACTTGGTGGCTGCAGCGAGGTGCGTCAGCGGCCATTGTTTTGTGTCCAACCCAACCCGAGGTTGGCTCCAAGTAGCATCGTACCGTATCGTCACCGGTGCGCTTCACTTTCCTTGCTTGCAGCGCTGGACCTGCTGACACAATGCGCTGTGGGACTGGCAAATTTGGAGTTCATCTTACCAGCAGTCTGGTGTAGACTTTTTCCTCGGTCAGGGTAAGGCGATGCACAGTCATCCAATTCCGCACTCAATCGTCATTCCCCAACTGCCAGGTCCGGGCCAGCCCGGGTGCGATCATCGAGTTTGTTAGGATTAACCGACTCCCAGCATCACTCGGTGCCAGCTGCGCTGCGTTGCGCTACTTGTGCAACCTGTTGTACTGGCTCCCATACTCAACAATGTGCTAGAGTGGTGCAATCGTTAGTTAGTTGGTGGCTTCGTTCGAAACTTGGTCAGGCACTTCAAAAGGACATTCCTGCCTTGGCTGAGCAAGTGTAATATGTTTTGTTGCGTTACGGGTGCAGTAGCTGCTGCAAGCTGCTGTTCAAGCACGGGGGGTAGGGGCAGTGCGTGCTATGGGAACGGCTTGGCAGGGCCACAAAGCAGGCATTGCGTTCGAGATCATTCTCTTAGACTTGGACCATGACACGTGCGCAGCGGTGGCGGAAGAGGGTTGATGGGTGACAAGATGTACGCGCTGCTGCAGCGCAGGGCCGACGGCGTCCTCCACCCCCGCAAGCCCACTCGAGGTGCCGCTGGCGCTGGCGCACCACCAGCACCTGCCCTGCACGCCAGACGTCGCGGCCGTCGCCACCGGCGAGAGGGGCCGCAGCTGGCAATGCCTGTATCATGTTATGCATTCAACCGCTTGAGTTGCCCGTGGTTGAAATGAGTGTTTGGCGCCTGCGCAGGTCTTGCTGCCAGCCTTGAGCTGGAATCATGGAATCGGCCCGGGACCATGCTGCACAGACCATCATCACAACATCTTGATTCAGTATCTCATGCCTCTCAGCCTGCTGTTGCAAATTCAGCACAAGTAGCAGCAACAGGAATCGGCAGAGGCCAGCACATGTAGCACCAGTTTGTGCACCGTTGTTGAGGCTGCAGCCGAGCTGGCACAACTTTTGTTCAGATCGGCACCGTATGCTTGTCACTTTGGAATAATCTCGTGGTACGACTGGCTGCCAACATTATAGTACCGGTACCCTGCGCCAGATCATTGTTGCTGCTGCATACACACTCGCTGACGATGCCGGGCACCCAGCACGAGTAATCAACTGCCTGATCAAGTCACGCCACATCATTGATACCTTTATGCAGTCGCATTGCAGCCAGATCGATTGAGGAGTCAAACCTGTGACACGAAGGCCAGGCCTGGCAGGCACCGCCCTGCATGTCCGTGAGTGAACAAAAGGATAGGCCTACCGCCACTCCCAAGCGCGTCAAGGCCTGGTGGTGGCCACCT